ATCCAGGAGCTTTATACATTCCTGTGCTCTCAAAAGGGAAGACAAGAAGCAGTTATCTCCATTGTCACAGGAATCTGCAGCAGATACGTTTTCTGAGCTCAAACGACAGGTCCAGCATTGTTTCTTCGGACCCTGATGCAAATGTAAAGGAGATTTCCATTTTTCAAAATCCATTCAATTGTGCAACTCACGAGCTTCCACGTAACCCTCAACTGGAAGGGATTAATCTGCAAGGTTCTAGCATGCTAAAAGGAAAAGACCAAGGGAAGAAAGGATCTAGTAGAATTCTACCAGGGCCTTCCAAGTGATAAACACACTCAGGGAAAATACTCTCATGGATTAACACGTGTACTTGGCAATTCTGATCTGTCTGAAAAGATATTTTCAAAGACAAAATATGTAAAATCTTACTAGAGATCAACATTAACAGATGAACACTTACCATCATTTCTGATGATAGGAAATAGTAACTTTGAATCCCAATTGAGTGAAATATTATCCTTCCCATGAGTATTTCATTCTTCTCTTTAGTAGAACCATATGACCAAAAAAAAATTCTTAATTACTATGTTTTGAATTTTGTCAATAAAAATTTTGTGGAAATTCATTTTCTCTCTCATGATATCATACCTCGATAGTCATCTCAATTTTGCCTCTTAGTCCATTACAGAAAATGTTTGCTGACTTCTGCTCTGGAATCAGAAGCCTCCCTGCACACTTAAAACATAGGTTGAAAGCGCTGTCTCTAAGCCAGATGTCCTTGGTGAGTAAAATGGCTCTGCCACTAGCAGGTATGTGGACAAGAGGAAGTCCTCCAATCTTTCTTTGCCTCAGTTTCCTCAACCGTAACTGGAAGTAAACAATGGCATCTATCTTACAGGGCTGTTGTGAAGATTAAGCGACTTAGGAAATGCAAAGCTCATCAACGAGGGTCTGGCAAAGTAAGCATCAACTCAGTGCCGGTTGCTAATTTAAGATACAAGTACTACTTCACCCAGTTGGTAATCAAATTATAAATCTGATCCTCCTAAAATTCCCCCAGATAAAACATCTAAAATGTTTACATACATGTATGAGGGAAAAGAAAATCCAAGTGCATGAAGGTAACGGTACAGGATAACCCAGCCCTCTCCCAACTGACCCTTGCTTCTGCCAAGAAACAGAAGACAGGTGGGTCCTACCCCACGACAGTAATCCTCGTATAGATGGTTTCTTATATGGAAGAAACTGTATTGCTATTTCAATATTTCAAATGTCACAGTACTACATTCTTTATATTCTAGAAAAGAATCAGCATAGTAGTAATTTAAAATTTTTTTAATGCTTTATTTATTTTTTGAGAGTGTAAGCAGGGGAGGGGCAAAGAGAGAGGGGGGATAGAGGATCCTAAGCAGGCTCCGTGCTGACAGCACTGAGCCTGATGTGGGGCTTGAACTCATAAACCACGAGATCATGACCTGAGCCGAAGTCAGACGCTCGACTGACTGAGCCACCCAGGAGCCCCTATGACCTTTATATTTTTAAAGTTTGACATATTATATGGCTTCACTCAATAATATATTCTTACTCGTTCAATAACTACTTATTGACAACCTAATATTTGTCATACACATAAATTCACTAGCTTAAGCACTTTGGGGGAGAAGTGCTTTCATATATGTACTTTTGAGAATGCCCTCAAAAATTGCCTAGAGATATATATCAATCATTTTTAAGCTAAATGTGCTTTTTCTTAAATGACTACAAGAAATTCTAGAGTACTGATGTCTAATATTAAAACCACTAGCCTCAGGTGACTACTGAACACCTGCAGTGTGGCTGGTACAACTGAGGTATGGAATCTTTAATTACACTTAACTATAATTAAATAAAATAGCCATATATGGCTAATGGCTGCCAGACAGGACCACTAGAGGATTATTCTAGAATGTGCAGATGCTGGGATTCAGCAGTATGTCCTATGTGGGAAAGTAAATTTTGTTACACTATACACTTTGGTCGGGGACTGGAATTTCCCTATCAGTCCTGTGGGCCATCTTATAACAGATTTTTTCCTATCAAGAGGAGGGGTGGGAGGATGAAGCCCTAGGACTACTGAGCCTGGGTGATAGTTCTCTGTTTCTGCTAGTACATGGCAATGACAATGTCCTTTCTTCAGAAATGTACTGGGAAGTTCAGTATAGAGAAAGATATCTAAGTGGAGCTATTCTGGCTGAAATAAGATTGAGCATTGCAGAGTCCCCAGCCTGCCTCTACCCCCTCCTCCCACCCTACCAACAAGCCTCTAAAACATGGCGAAGACTCGGGAGAAGGCCTGAAGCCATAGGACACTGAACCGCAGGAGTCTGGGAGGAAAAGAGACGGAGTCCACTAAGAAGACAGCCTCACAGGGCTCCCTCAAGAAACAAGCCAAAGCACACATGGTGGAGAGTCCCAAATACCACTACTAGTAGGGAAATAAAATAACCAAAATCTCAACAAGAGAGATCCAGAGACACCATTCAAAGAACACTTCCTAAGCGGACAGGTCCTGGACAGTCAATGAGCCTTCTTTTTTTTTATTTTATTTTATTTTACTTTTTACTTTTATTTATTTCTAGGAGAGACAGAGAGACACAGCGTGAGCAGGGAAGGGTCAGAGAGAGAGGGAGATACAGACTCTGAAAGAGGCTCCAGGCTCTGAGCTGGCAGTCAGCACAGAGCCCGACGTGGGGCTCGAACCCACGAACCGCGAGATCATGACCTAAGCGAAAGTTGGATGCTTAACCGACTAAGCCACCCAGGCGCCCCAATGAGCCTTCTTTAATACAGCAGCACAAGCAGGTGCACAGGATATAACAAGCTTTTAAAATTAATAAGAGACAGAAAGCTAGCCAAAATGATGAAAATGGAAGAACTCTCCTCTAAAGAAATTCCAGGAAGAAATGGCAGCTAAAGAACTGCTCAAAAGAGACATAAGCAACATAACTGAACAAGAATTTAGAAACAATAGTTATAAAATTGATTGCTGGGCTTGAAAAAGGCATGGAAGACATCAGAGAAGCTCCTGCTACAAAGACTATGGAGCTTAAAAATAGTTGTGATGAATTAAAAAGTGCTATAAATGAGGTGCATAATAAAATGGAGGTGGTCCAAGCATGGATAGAAGAGGCAGAGAGGAGAATAGGTGAATTAGAAGACACAATTATAGAAAAAGAAGAAGCTGAGAAAAAGAGAGATCAACTGATCCAGGAGAACGAAAGGGGAGTTCGAGGACTGAGTGATACAATCAAACGGAACAATATCCGTATCATAGGAATTCCAGAAGAGGAAGAGAGGGAAAAGTGCTGAAGGAGTCCTGGAACAAATTATAGCTGAGAATTTCCCCAATCTGGGTAAGGAAACAATGAAATCCAAGAAGCACAGAGAACTCCCCTCAGACATAACTTGAATCGATCTTCTGCACGACATATCATAGTGAAACTGGCAAAATACAAGGACAAAGAGAATTCTGAAAGCAGGTAGGGAGAAAAGGGCCCTAACATACAAAGGGAGTGGTGACAGACCTCTCTACTGAAACCTGGCAGGCCAGAAAAGAATGGTAGGAAATCTTCAATATGATGAACAGAAAAAATATGCAGCCAAGAATCCTCTGTCCAGCAAGCCTGTCATTCAGAATAGGAGAGAGAAAGGTCTTCCCAAATAAACAAAAATTGAAAGAATTCATCACCACTAAATCAGCCCTACAAAAAATCCTGAGGGGGACTCTCTGAGGGAAATGTGTCAAGGAACACAAGGTACCAGAGACACCACCACAAGCATGAATCCTACAATGAACACAATGACTCTAAACTCATATTTTTCAATAACACTGAATGTAAACGGACTAAATGCTCCAATCAAAAGACATAGGGTAGCAGAATGGATAAAATACCAAAATCCATCTATTTGCTGTCTACAAGAGACTCATTTTAGAACTGAGGACACCTTCAGATTGAAAGTAAGAGGATGGAGAAATATCTATCATGCTACTGGAAGTCAAAAGGAATCTGGAGTAGCCATACTTATATCAGACAAACCTGACTTTAAAGTAAAGGTAGTAACAAGGGATGAAGAAGGGCATTATATAATAATTACAGGGTCTATCCATCAGGAATTGTTACACTATACAGTTAATATTAGTTTGCTACTCAAAACATCCCTGTCTTTTCATGCCACAAAATATTTTGTTTACTCTCTTAACAGCAGAACTAAATCAATTCACTATTTAACACAACAATGCTTATTTTTCCTCCAGTATAACTGATTTCTAATTATTTAAGGTGCTGGGGCACAGAAAAAAAATATATATAATCCACATATATTTCAGAGGCCTTAAGCCTCTTCCTTTGGCCAATTTTTAAGGCATCTGCTAATAGTTGGAAAGCTATTTTGTTTAGTAGTTTACCTATTGTTCTTGATTATGCCCACATTTTTACACAGGTATTATCCAATAGTAAAATAGGTAAACAGAAGAAAAATGGAAAAACTAAAACTTTCAAGATGAAAGTGTTAATATATCAGCTGAAAAAATAATCACAACATGAAAAAATAAGACTCTTCCTCCAATTAACTCTGAAAATTCTGTATACACCAAACAAAACACTGGCCAGGTTATAATGCTTATTATAATAAGACATCTTTACATGGAGGTGTGAAAAATTAATTTTATTTTTAAATATCATGATACTTTCTGGCTCAACATGTTCCTTTAAAAATAAGTTAAAATGTTTCCATATTACTCTCTTATTACACATATTATTGACTAAAGAATAATATCACTGATAACATAAAGTAAAAATAATGTGACCCACTCACATATTCTTCAAGAAAAGTGCTTACAATATTTTATGAAAACACTTGCTTACATTTTTACTTGATTTAATGGACAATTTCATATTGTTCTTTAAAATCTACAAATCTCTTAATGGAGCAGTAAGACATTCCTGCCATTATATAACTAAACAAAACCAACGCTAAAATAAAACCATACAAAAGCACATTGATTTTATTATGCAACATATATTAAGTCACTGTGTAAAGCTCTTTTTTATGAATACTTTTGGAAAGCTCACATTGAGTTCCAGCACAGCTCTGTTATCAATCTGTGAACAGAAGGACACATCAAGCAAGCAAAGATCTTTACATGATTCCAGAAGTTTTCTTAAAGATGCTGGACTTACCATTCTTGTTCCTGTGAAAACAAAATAAAACACCTTAAATACTGCATTTATATAACATCCTGATAAATAGCCCCTTTATTAATTATTTAAAATGAACTTAAGATAAATTGCTTTTAAAAATTAAAAGCATTTCTTTAAACAAAAGACATATTGAAATAGACTTGTAAAAAAAATACAAACTGAATTCTCCCAGCCAATTTGGCATCTAGGACCTGTATTTTGTCAATTCTCTGCCCACTATCTTCATTCCTACCTCCTATGCCTTCCAAGCAGCTCCTCCAGACTTTTCTATTTCTGTTACACAAGTTCAAAACTGGTTGCACATCTCATTTTCCTCAACCCGTGGGTCAAATCAGACAGCAATGCTTATAATGATTCAACCTCATATTCCGTACAGTGCAGTCACCGAGCAACTACCCCTGCAGAAACTTCGGTTTCAGGCACTGGAGATGCAAAGATGAACAAGGCATTTGTCTGCCCTAAGGAACTCCTTGACCAGAGTTGAAAACAAATAATTACAATACAATTTGATAAGTGGTGGGTATAAAATGACATTACTGGAAGTCAGATAATGGTGAGCAATTCTGTTTAGCCCATGTTAAATTTGAAGAGACTATGGGATACTCAGATAGAAGCTAAGTTATATACATTATGAAAAGCACCTGCTTAAAGTCAGACTCAATAAGAAACAATTATCATTAGGCTTGAAGATATCATCTGTTATGAAACATACCTTGCCTTAACTATGGGTTTTCTAGGGAGAAAAAAAAATCACTATCATACCACATAAACACATCTACTGTGAGGGGGACTGAAGTTTCTGAGATGTTAACCTAGGCCTTTTCTCCTGAGAAATCCTTTCTACCCCCCTCCTTGCACGGGCTCCAGAAGCAGCAGCCCTACTGCTACCGTGATGTGGCTGGCCCCGTGCCAAACCCATACAGATTCTCCTGGGAATCTGGAACTGGAATTCAGTAAAGCCTTCAGTGTCCATAGATCCCTTGAACTAAAGACACGAAAAACTGGGATGGGGCTGTTAAATTATATAGCTGTGTGTACCCAGGAAGACAGAGATGGCTGGCATGACAAGAAAATAAGGCAAAACCAAACATAAAAGTACCTGTGAGTACACAGAAGCAGTGGGGGTAGAGGCAGGTGCCTGGGCACCAAGGACAGGAAAAGAAAGAAAAAAGGGAAAACAGCTTCCTTGCCTTTAAAAAAAAATTTTTTTTAATATTTATTTACTTTTGAGAGAGAGACAGAGACAGAGTGTGAGTGGGGGAGGGGCAGAGAGAGAAGGAGACGCAGAATCAGAAGCAGGCTCCAGGCTCTGAGCTGTAAGCACAGAGCTGGATGTGGGACTCGAACTCACAGATCACGAGATCCTGACCTGAGCCAACGGTGACACTTAACCAACTGAGCCACTCAGGTGCCTCCTTTCTTGCCTTTTGTTAGTTTTCTAGTCTCTGCTGAGGTCTGACCATAGTTCCTCCCTATCTCCCAGAGAAACCCCTGTATCTTCATAATAATGTTCCTTCCTTTATGTGGAAGTTACCTTGAGTGGGCTTCTATTGCACAAGTTCAGAGAACCTCAACTGGGGACACTGGGCTATGTGGTGTATTTCACCTAGGGTTGTGACTGTTTTCCAATTTGCCAGACTTGGTCTTTAGCATCTGAGTTTCCTAGTAAATTAGAAATTCCTAAAAGCCTAAGAGAATGGAATGTCAGGGAAGGAAGGTGGGAGACCGTAAATCTACCAAGGCTAGGGTGCCGTCTTATGTATCCGGAGCACTGTGTGCTTTTGTTTTCTTATCCACTGAGGACACAACTGTGTTCTCAGCTTGCTCCTTCAGGGCAGGGGCCACATCTATCTTGTTCGCTGACCTATCTCCGGTGTCGGAAACAATGCCTGACACGGTGTATGCTCAATAAGTGTGTAATAAATGAAAGAATAAAGGGATGATATTGAACTTCCCAATGCCATCACCCTGGCTTGGACCCTTATTAGATGGATTACCGTAGCTAATCTCCCTGATTTTGATTTCCTCCCTCTCCAATTCACCTACCACTTGTTTCTAGATTAATATCCTGAACACAGCTCTAAATATATCACTCATGCTCTGAATTAAAACCCAATAATAGCTCCTCCCTATTGAATTTAGTGCAGATTCCTCACCCTGGTGTTCAAAACTCTCCATTATACTAATGTTCTAAGTCAAATTACACTGCCTATTCTCTGAAGGTATTCTGTATTTTTAACTCCTGTGCTTTTGTTTCACGCTCTTCATTTTCCTTAAAATGCTCTCCTCCCCCTATTTTCTATTCATTTTTCAAGGATACCTTTCAAATACCTATTACCCTTTCTTAAAATTTATTTTAGAGAGAAAGCATGCATGAGTAGGAGAGAGGGACAGAGGGAAAGGGATAGAGGAAGGGAGGGAGGGAGGAAGGGAGAGGGAGGGAGAGATATAGAGACAGAGATAGAGAGATAGAGAGAGAGAGAGAGAGAGGGAGAGAGAGAATTCTAAGCAGGTTTATGCTTAGCATGGAACCCAACCACTTTGGGATCCGACCACTTTGGGATCATGTTCTGAACTGAAATCAAGAGTCAAATGCTCAACTGACTGAGTCGCCCAGGTACCCCCCTATTAACCTTTTCAATTAAACTTATTCATATTTCTTTAATCATATATACTCTCTTTTCTTTGAGCCCCCAAATGAACTTGCTTCTGGCTTGCATTAAAATTATATATTTTAAAATATATTTTATAATATATATTTATATAAATTTATATTTATAATATGTATTATATATAATATTATATATATATATATAATTTTTTTTGGCCAGGTTATAAATTCTCTGAAGGTAGGGACTGTATCTTACTCAGCTTTGTATTGGTCAGTAAGTATTTTCAGCATGAAGAAGGTATGCCACTTAACATTAATATGCACCAATCACAAAATGACAAAATAATGACTATAAGCTTGGTTTACCTAAGAATCTTTTTTCAAAATGGATTCAAACACTTACCGAAACCATAAAACAAGAATAAAAATGAAAATATAGCATAGTTGTTTAGGAGCACAGATTGTGATTCAAATTCAGATTCCTGTGGCACCTGGGTGGCTCAGCTGGTTAAGCATCCACCTCTTGGTTTCAGCTCAGGTCATAATCTCATGGTTTCATGAGTTTGAGCCCCACAGAGCTTGTGTGGGATTCTCCCTCTCTCCTTCTCTCTCTGCCACTCCCCTACTTAAACTGTCTCTGTCTCTCTCACATAAATAAATACACTTTAAAAAAATTATAAAAAAACACAATTCAGATTCCTTATTAGCCATGAGACCCTGGGCAAATCAATTTGTTTCAGCCTGTTTCCACTTCTGTGGCTATAATAACAACTATCTCATAGGCTGTTGTGAGGGTTAAATCTGTTAATATATGCTCAGAATAATATAAAGCATACAGTAACATTGCTGTTAACATTATTTTACTTTGTTCTTTACATCTGAAATAAGATGGTCTAATATATTTGCATGATGGTCTTCTTCCTATAATTTATTTTGCCATAATACTTCCTTGCTCTCTTCTATTTTTTTTTTTAGTATAGTTGACATACAATATTATCTTACTTTCAGGTATACAAGGTAGTGATTCAACAGGCTTATACATTATGCTATGTTCACTACAAGTATAGCTACCATCTGTTACCAGGCACTGCTACTACAATATCATTGACTATATTCCGTAGGCTGTGTCTTTTATTCCCATGACTTATTCATTCCATAGGTGGAAACCCCTATCTCCCACTCCTCTTCACACATTCTGCCCATCCCTCCACCCCCCTTTCCTCTGGCAGCCATCAGTTTGTTCTCTATACTTACAGGTTTGATTCTGCTTTTTGTTTATTCATTTGTTGCTTTGTTTCTAAAGATTCCACTTACAAGTGAAATCATATTTATCTTTCTCAGGGTGACTTATTTCACTTAACAAAATACCCTTCATGTTGTCACAATCTCATCCTTTTTTATGGCTATGTAATATTTCACTCTATATCTATATATCACATTTTCTTTACCTATTTTTTATTGATAGACACTTAGGTTGATTTCAGATCTTGGCTTCTATAAACAATGCCACAATAAACATAAGGGTGCATATATCTTTTTGAATTTGTATTGTTTTCTTTGAGTAAATATCCAATAGTGGAATTACTAGAACATATGGTAATTCTATTTTTAATTTTTTGAGGCACTTCCATTCTGTTCTCCACAGTGGCTGTACCAATTTACATGCCCATCAACAGTGCACAAGGGTTCCTTTATCTCCACATCCTCACCAACATTTATTTCTTGTGTTTTCTATTTTAGCCATTTTAATAAGTGTAAGTTGATACCTCATTGTGGCTTTGATTTGCAGTTCCCTGATGAATAATGATGTTGAACATCTTTTCATGTGTCTTCTGGCCATCAGTATGTCTTCCCTGGAGAAATGTCTATTCGGGTCCTCTACCCTTTCTTTAATTGTATTGGTTGTTTTTTCATACTGAGTTGTTAAGTTCTTTATATATTTTGGATATTAACCCTTTATCAGATATATCATTTGCAAATATCTTCTCCCATTCCATAGGAATGTTTGTTGATGGTTTCTTTCACTGTGCAACTTTTTTTTTTTTTTAATTTTGATGTAGTCCCAGTAGTTTCTTTTTGCTTTTGTTTCCCTTGCCTTAGAAGACATACCTAGAAAAATGTGTTGCAGCTGATGTTAGAGAAATTACTGCCTATGGTCTCTTCTAAAATTTTTGTGATCTCAAGTTTCACATTAAGGTCTTTACTCCATTTAAGTTTATTTTTGGGTATGGTATTAAAAGGTAGTCCAGTTTTATACTTTTACACGTAGCTGTCCAATTTTCTTAGCACTATTTGCTGAAGAGACTGTTCTTTTCCCCATTATATAATCTTGCCTCCTTTGTCATAAATTGTCCATATAATCATGGGTTTATTTCTGGG